AATCTGCGGCGGCCCCCGCGCCTCTGGCGGGCGGGAGAAGGAGGCCGCGGCGGCCAGCGCGGGGATGTCGAGGACCTCGAAGGTGGTGCTGGGCCTGTCGGTGCTGCTAACGGCGGCCACGGTGGCCGGCGTACATGTGAAGCAGCGGTGGGACCAGCAGGTCGGTGTCACGTGACCGTCTCTTGCGGGCCCCGGCGCAGCGGCGACCTGGGGCCTCTGGTGGTCTCTGTCCGTTCGGTTCTTCACCCCCTCCTCGCGTCTTTCCCTCCCGGCGGCGCGGCCCAGCACCCCATGCGTTTCCGGCCGGGCCGCCTTGCTAGGCTCCCGGAGCTGCCGCTCCCGGCGGGCGTGTGCAGCCGGGCGCTTCAGGACCACTCGGCCGCCGGCTTAGCGCCCTGGGAGCCCCGCGCCGAAGGGGCCTTGCGCCGCGCACTCACGCACGCTCTTGGGGTGCCCAGCGGCTCTGTTTTCAGGTCGCAGCCGGCCGGCAGGGTGCGGACCTTTCCACATCTCACTTGGGCCGCTGGAAAATAGAAGCGGGGGGAAGGAGTTCCTTGGGGTGCATTCTGCAAGTTACCAGCCTCTCTTCTGGCCCAAGGTTGCGGCTAAAGCCTCATGTGTTTTAAGTGCTATTGATTTTATCCAATAGTAAGAGAGTCCCCCTCCCCCATACTCGCTTTGGCCAAGGTAATTTGGTGAGATATTTGCACTTCTACTTTAAATGAACAGTTTGCTACGGAAACTGTAGAATCTGGGAACGATAGAGATAAAAGGCTCCAAATTTTCTTTTTGGTACTTTTATTTCAGGAAGTATCCATGACCTACTGATGAGTGACTGACCATCTATTCTTTCCTCTCAATTCATATTTTCTTTCTTGATCAAGTTGACAGACCTTTAATGGCTGATTACTGTGTTGAAGCTACCTCACTAAGCACCTTGGGAATACAAAGATAAGGAAACTTCACTCCTCCAGAGTCTATCAGTGGTTCACAACCGTACTGAGATCAGGGAATTGGGTCCTTAGTGAACTTTCAAAGAGCACCTTGACAGTGATTGGGATTGAATCTAGTTCACCAAGGGTGAAAATAATGGACTGGATGAATCAAGAATAAACAGTCTTTTCTTGATTTGCCTACCCAGAGCTTTGAACTGGCTATGTGCTTGGTATACAGAGATGAAACAGATGAGGTCTTTGTTCTTGGTGTTCACGGACTGTGGAAATTAGAGGAGAGGAATCATACAAGAATTTTCAGGAGGGAGATAAGGCGACTTAATGAAAGGGCACAGAAGAGATCAGAGATTTGGGATTAAAAAATGTGCTCCTAAGGGGATAGTTCTTGGAGTAGAGGCAGAAGACTTCCGCCTCTTAGAAGGAAAAGGAAAAGGTGGTGATCCCGGGAAAACTTGAGATGGGGTAAAGTTTAGTATGACAGATGTTGTTCTGACGTCAGTGAAGTGATTTTTGAAGGGTTAGGGTATGGATGGGTTAGAACTTGGCTTTGGACCATATAAACATCAGATGTTCCCTGAAAGTTTTTACAATGTGACTAAGGCTTGGTCCCCACCCCAGACGATTTAAACCAGAATCTCTTGGGGATGGGGACCTGGTTCAGCAATGTTTTCATTTTGGGTTTTTTTTGTTTTTGTTTTTGTTTTTAAAGATAGGATTTCACCATGATGGCCAGGCTGGTCATGAACTCCTGACCTCAGGTGATTCACCCACCTCGGCCTCCCAAAGTGATAGGGTTACAGGCGTGAGCCATCGCGCCCGGCCTTGTTTTTGTTTTTGAGATGGAATCCCACTCTTGTCGCCCAGGCTGGAGTGCAGTGGCGCGATCTCAGCTCACTGCAACCTCTGCCTCCAGGTTCGAGCAATTCTCCTGCCTCAGCCTCCTGAGTAGCTGGGTTACAGGCACATACCACCATGCCTGGCTAGTTTTTGTATTTTTAGTAGAGACAGGGTTTTATCATGTTGGTCAAGCTGGTCTCAAACTCCTGACCGTGTGATCCGCCTGCCTTGGCCTTGCAAAGTGCTGGGATTACAGGCGTGAGACACTGTGCCTGGCCTCAGCAATGTTTTAAAAGCAACCAAGAGGATTTTAACACAGGGTTGAGAACCAGTGTGTTACAACGTGGAACAGTGGTTATTTGTAAGTTAGAGATGAAGAAAAGGTTGACCAGAGGCTGGGCATGGTGGCTTATGCCTGTAATCCCAGTACTTTGGGAGGCTGAGGCAAACAGATCCCCTGAGGTTAGAAGTTTGAGACCAGCCTGACCAACGTGGAGAAACCCAGTCTCTACTAAACATCCAAAATTAGCCAGGTGTGGTGGGGCATGCCTGTCATCCCAGGTACTGGGGAGGCTGAGGCAGAAGAATCGCTTGAACCCCGCAGGTGGAGGTTGTGGTAAGCCCAGATCCGCCATTGCAGTCCAGCCTGGACAACAAGAGCGAAACTCTGTCTCAAAAAAAAAAAAAAAAAAAAAAAAAAGGTTGAGCAGAATAACCTGTTTTGTTTTGTTTTTTTAATGTACGGTTCCTCATTAGGGGCTTACATTGTATTAATAGCAGTAGGAAAGACTAGGACAAATGATTAGCACAGTGGATGTATCAGAAGTTTCAAGGAAGCAAGAAATTAGATAATGACTGTTTCCTGACTGTCTACCACGTACCAGGCAGTGTGTTAAACACTTTACGTACATCGTCTTTAATCCTCACAGTAACCTAGCAAAAATGAAGCAGTGCTACATGAGGAGCCAGAGTTCTAGGTGTTAGGGTTGGAAGAATAAAGAGATCTTTCGTGGTTAGAAAGGTAGTTCAGTGACAGTCATGGGAAGGATGTGTGAGGCAATCCGCATAGACCTTGAAACCTGGAGGACAATAGCAAATAATGGAATGGGGAACCAGATCATAAGCACACATGACATCTCTGAGAAGGAAGGGTAGGATCTGGGAAGCAGGTGTGGAAGGAATGATTCTGGTGAATGGTGTGGGCTTGGGAGGGTGGGTATTGGTGTATCATGGTATAAAAGGAACAGGACAAGAAGACCTGGGGTCAGGGGAGTGGAATAAGCACCTCCATTTTTGTCTCAGTGGGGATCTTGCCAAGGGTGCATGGTTCAAGACAGCTGGGTTTCAGTTGAGTTATATCAATCCCAGGGCTCCTTCAGATCTCCCATAATGAAGCTGTAGACCTGGAGAAGGTCCAGCAGGTAGGTATTATATTAGCTGAATTTTTAAAAATAGGTAAAATAATTTGGAAAAAACCCCACAGACATATGCAGGCCCTGGGCCCCACTCCCATTAATTCTACTGTATTTAGCCACTATTAAAAAAAACTATTGGCTGTGTGTGGTGGCTTATGCCTGTAATCCTGGCATTTTGGGAGGCCAAGGTGGGCAGATCATTTTAGGTCAGGAGTTCGAGACCAGCCTGCCCAACATGATAAAACCCCATCTCTACTAAAAATACAAAAAAATTAGCTAGGCCTGGTGGCACACGCCTGTGATCTCAGCAACTTGGGAGGCTGAGGAACAGGAATATCTTGAACTCAGAAGGTGGAGATTGCAGTGAGCCGAGATCGTGCCATTGGACTCCAGCCTGGGTGACAGAGTGAGACTCCGTCTCAAAAAAAAAAAAAAACAACAGAGAAACTTCATTTATTTTGAGATGGGGTCTTGCTTCTATCACCCAGCTGGGAGTAAAGTGGCGGGATCTCATCTCACTGCAGCCTGTGCCTCCCAGGCTCGGGTGATCCTATCACCTCAGCCTCTGGAGTAGCTGGGACAACAGGCACACGTCACCACGCCCTACAATTTTTTTTTTTTTTTTTTGTATTTTTGCTGAAGATGGGATTTTGCCATGTTGCCCAAGCTGGTCTAAAACTTCAGAGCTTAAGCAGTCTGCCTGCCTTGGCCTCCTAAACTGCTGGGATTACAGGAGTGAGCCACTGGCCTAAAAACAGAGTATTTTGTGAGCAATAAACTGTAAAATTTTAGTTATTAGTAATGACTGAATTGATGTTTTTAAAAGTCTAATCTTGGGTGTCAGGTCCGTGTTCTGGAATTCTGTAGTTTTTTAGTGCTTACTAAGGTAACTACCATTGATGGGAATTTATTTTTTCCTCTGGTAGTAGCATTCTTCTTTTTTTCCTTCTCTCTGTTATATAATTAATAATTCTTTATGAGTTTTACATTTTTAACTTTACATGCTAGAAGTGAAGTTCAGATTTTAGTAATCTGCTTTTTTTTCTCTTGATGTTTATTGTTCAGCTAGGGTAATTGCTAACAGAAGGGTAGTTTACAGTGTTACTGTAGTAACTTGCCAAGGTTTTAAGCATTACATATAAATTAAACTTTTAAAATTTAATATTGGCCAGGCGAGGTGACTCATGCCTGTAACCCAGCCTTTGGGAGGCTGAGGTGAGCAGATCACTTGAGGTCGGGAGTTCTAGACCAGCTTGGCTGACATGGCAAAACGCCTTTCTACTAAAAATACAAAAATTAGCTGAGCATGGTGGTACACGACTGTAATCCTAGCTACATGGGAGGCTGAGGCTCGAGAATCACTTGAACCTAGGAGGTAGAGGTTGCAGTGAGCTGAGATCACGCCACTGCACTCCAGCCTGGGCAACAGAACAAGACGCTATCTCAAAAAATAAATAAAATAAAATAAAATTTAACATATTTTATTTTTTATTTAACAGTTTTTTTTTCTGTTATTTCTTAAATAGTCTGTACTAAATGCTCAGGAATTTCTTAAAATATGAGAAATCATTTCAGTAATAACATTTAACACTACCAAATTTATTTGATGGTTTCTTTATTACATTTTACATTTGTACAGAAAATTAAAATAGTAACTGGGTATTTGGAATCTGAAAGTTTTAAGTGTATTTTGGTAACACTGTCATTTGGATTTGAATGGTACAAGGATGGGGACCACCTGTTCGGGATGTTACTGAAATCTGTTTCTTACGTTTTTAGAGGCTTCATGACGGAGTTATCAGAGACATTCAGAGACAAAATCGGAAAAAAGAAAACATTCGTCTTTTGGGAGAACAGATTAAATTGACTAAGCAACTTGAAGCAGAAAGAGAGATGTTATTGGCAAAAGGATCTCAAAAAACGACTTGAATGTGAAATATCAATGGGACAGACAACATGAGTGTATGTGCGTGTGTTGATGGAGAGTAGCTTAGTGGTGTCTTCATCTTTTTTTTGGTCACTGTCTTTTTAAACTTGATCAGGTAAAGGACAGTGGATCATATATTGTAAATTACTGCTTTCAGTGTCCCTTATATCTGAATAAAGGAGTGTGGGCAGACGCTCTTTGGAAGTCTCTGTATGATCCTGGTAGAAGCTCTGTTAAGGTCACTGTCCAGAGCTTAGGGTTGTTACTGAGAAGCACTGCTGAACTTGTGAGAAGGAAGGGATGGATAGTAGCATCCACCTGAGTAGTCTGATTAGTCGGCACGATGACGAAGCCACGAGAACATCGACCTCAGAAGGACTGGAGGAAGGTGAAGTGGAGGGAGAGACGCTCCTGATTGTGGAATCTGAGGATCAGGCATCAGTGGACTTATCACACGACCAGAGTGGGGATTCCCTCAACAGCGATGAAGGAGACGTATCGTGGATGGAGGAGCAGCTGTCCTACTTCTGTGACAAGTGCCAAAAATGGATACCAGCCAGTAAGGAGCTTCTCAATTTCTTTGATTTGTCAATTCCAGTGTGAAGGTTTGTTTTTCCAACCTGTGAAAGAAATGTGAATATAAAAGAGACCCAAATAAAAGGATAATTATATTTATTGTCTAGTTAATCAGCTATCAATTTATATAAAACATAGGCACGTTTGTACTAATGAAACTTACTGTCGACCTCTATCACGTTGTTCACAATTTTGATGGTAACTCAATAAAAATGAGAAAATTGGAAATCCTGTGTTACTTAGAGAATTAGCCATATTTTTCTAACAAGATCATATAGATTTGGGGCCAAATTCCAATCCCAGTGTAGAATTCATGTTCAAGTTTATAAAAATTACTTTGTTAACATTTAACTTATGTGGAGAACTGCTGTTGTATACCGAAGAGAAGTTAGATGAGCACATTGAAGGTGTTTTTTGCTCTTTTTCTAGAACCAGTCTTTTTTCCCATTTTCCTTTTTTTCTTCTGGCAAGAGATAACATCATACACACTCCCTGATTGCCCCAATCTTGAGGTTTTTTTCTTTTTTTTGTTTTTGAAGATGGAGTTTTGCTTTTGTTGCCCAGGCTGGAGTGCATGGTGCAATCTCGGCTCCCGGGTTCAAGTGATTCTCCTGCCTCAGCCTCCCAAACAGTTGTGATTACAGGCATTTGCCACCACACCTGCCTAATTTTTTTTTTTTTTTTTGAGACAGCGTTTCGCTCTCATTGCCCAAGCTTGAGTGCAATGGTGCGATCTTGGCTTACCGTGACCTCCGCCTCCCAGGTTCAAGTGATTCTTCTGCCTCAGGTTCCCAAGTAACTGGGATTACAGGCATACGCCACCATACCTGGCTAATTTTTTATTTTTAGTAGAGATGGGGTTTCTCCATGTTGCTCAGGTTGGTCTCGAACTCCCGACCTCAGGTGATCTGCCTGCCTCCCAAAATCCTGGGATTACAGGCATGAGCCACTGTGGCCATTCCCAATTTTGAGATATTCCATGGTCAGCTTCCTGGCATTCAAGGAGTATGGCTTGCCAGCCATCATATGGTTCGTACCAAAGCAGGATTTTCCCATTAGGCAAGAGACTTTACAGATGTATGTACCTGAGGAATGCTTTTGTGTGATAGAATCTGTAACCAAGTCAGAGAAATACATATATAATTGTGAAGTGGGTCATTTTCTGGCATGTGGAATTTTTTTCTTAAAATGCGTTCAACTTCAGATTTAGTTACTGTTAACAAATTAATAGTAACATTTTCACAGGAAATGTAGAATTTGTTAGCTGATTTTTGCTTCTGAGTGGTCTCTGCTTATTAAATCCAGGTTCTGCCTGAATTCTCAGTGGCTTTCCTTTTGTCCTGTGAGGACAAATTTTAAGCTGCTCTTTGTGGTCAGGACCCTGCTAAGTGTAGCTTTGTTGATCCCCACAGAAGTTTGCAGTTAGGATGAACTTTTCATTCTTTACAAACAATTCTTTCTTATTCCTAGGTATTTTTCCTAGGAATACCTTTGCACAGGTATTTTTCCTTTCTGGAATATGCATCTCCACAGGCTCCATTCTCCCTTTATACAAAGACACCCCTTTTCACCTGGCCAATTTCTAATCCTAGGCCTCCCCCTAACATAGGTTGGGTCCACTTTTTACTTACCCTCACACTGCCCAGTGGTACATACCACATACCACTCCTGCGGTTTTCATGTGTCACAGAAATGTAACTCCTAGGCTCTGCTTCAGAAGTTGATTCCTTTTATCTGGTCTAGAACCAAGTATATTTAGAAAACCAGGAACGATTCTGATGCACTGTGAATGTGGAGAACCACTGTGCTGTTGTGATTACCTGTTTTCTCTGCAGCCCTCAGGGAAGTGCAAACCTGTGAGAGCAGGCACCATTATCTGTCTTGGACTTTGTATTCCCAGTTTCTAGCGCAGTGCCTGGTATGCAGAAGGAGCTCATATTTTTTGAAAGAATGTGTGAAGAGACCTGCCTCTGGGAGTCAGGAATGTGACAGTTGGGAAATCCAGCAACAATACCTGATTTTCCAGTACCTTTCTCCTAAAAGTTACTGGATCCTACAGATCTTAGTGGGCGTATACTTAGGTGTTAGAAGAATAGAAGTCTTTCTTACTGCCTTCCTCTTTCCCATCTTGCTATTGTGTGTTTGCTCAAGAAAAGAAGACTCAACATGGGAAAGGAAAATCTGGGTGATAAATGGATTATACCTTGGGGTTACCACTGCTCTAGATAAACCCATGATGTGACTTTCTGTTTTTCTTCTAGGTCAGCTGAGGGAACAGCTCAGTTACCTTAAGGGTGATAATTTTTTTAGGTTTACTTGTTCGGATTGCTCGGCAGATGGCAAGGAGCAATATGAAAGGCTGAAGCTGACATGGCAGCAAGTGAGTAAAAAGCCCTTCCCCGAGTCCCTGAGGGTGGTTCCCCCAGGAGTTTGTTGGAATGAGTATCTAGAAACTTAGGGATGAGCTTTTGAGTTGTTTGGAGGGGGACTTTTTATTTTGCAATGAAATTAGATACCGAATAGGTGGAGAAGGGAGTGAAAAATATTTGCTGTAATCACTGCGCTTTGGGAGGCCAAGGTGGGTGGATCACCTGAGGTCAGGAGTTGGAGACCAGCCTGGCCAACATGGTGAAACCCCATCTCTACTGAAAATACAAAAGTGGTGGGCCATTTTTGTGGTGGTAGGCCCCTGTAATCCCAGCTACTTGGGAGGCCGAGAGGCAGGAGAATTGCTTGAACCCAGGAGATGGAGGTTGCAGTGAGCTGAGATCACGCCACTGCACTCCAGCCTGGGTGACAAAGTGAGACTCCATCTCAAAAAAAAAAAAAAAAAATATATATATCACTGCTGACTTGGTGAATTGAGTTTGAGAGGCATGAGAATCTCGTGATTTCATTTATATGTGATACCAAGCTCTGGTTATAATTGAAAATGAAATTCTTATTTTCCTGGCAGCCATTTTAAGAACAATAAAACTATTTTTTTTTTTTAAATGGAAAGATGGCTATGTTGTAAATAGATTGGGAAGAACTAAGGTGACTGATTGCAAAAACCAACATAACCCAGCTTTCTGCATTTGAACTCAGAGGTGTTTGAATATTTTTTGTTTGCTGAAATACTTGTTCACTTTTAACCGTCTCTAATACCAACACCTTAATCTAAGCCAGCTGTATCCTAAACAATAGCTTTTTACTGATCTCCGGGTTCTATTAAATTGTTTGCTTTTGCTTCTATATCAGTATGTTAATATGTTAATAATAGGGCACCAGTATATATATGCTTTTTAGTTCAAAAACCAAATGAAGCCAGACATAGTGGCTCACATCTGTAATCCCAGCACTTTGGGAGGCTGAGCCTGCCAGATCGCCTCAGCTCAGTAGAGCAGCCTGGGCAATGTGGTGAAACCCCGTCTCTATAAAAAACAATACAAAAATTAGCCGAGTGTTGTGGTGGTGGGTGCCTGTGGTCCCAGCTTCTCAGGAGACTGAGGTGGGAGGGTCACTTGAGCCTGGGAGGCTGAGGCTGCAATGAGCTGTGATTGAGCTACTGTACTACAGCTTGAGTGTCAGAGTGAGACCCTGTCTCAAAAAAATGAATTATATATTACTCAGTTATGTTCATTCATTCAACAAATACTGAGTATCTATTATGAACCATGTGCTATTCTAGGCCTGAGTCTACTGTGGTGAATGAGATAGCTATGGCCTCTGCCCCAAGACAGCTGACATTCTGTACGTACTTAATTTAGATAATATACAGATAAACAAGATAATTACCCATAGCACTTTTTACTTTGACGGGTGATAAAGATTTTAAATTACACCATTTTAGCCACTTGTGATGTTCCTTATAAATTGTAGTTGCTTTAGCAGCCTTAGACTATTATCTTAATTATCAGTGCTTTATTAGGACATCTGAAGAAATCTGTCAGTGGTGAATTTAGGAAGCCTTTTCTTTGACTTGCCTGAAAAAAATGTAAGTAGAAAATGAAGAGAAGTTTGTATTGAGGATAGAACCTCATGAATATTGTAATTGGGACCTTTTTCTCAAGTGTACATGGGATACTGTGTGTAGGCAAGATTTTATTAATATATGAGATATATAGATATAAATATAATAATTTATAATTATCTTATAAATTATTGTGATATGTGCACACAGGTAGATTTGTATTTGGCCTGCAAGTGGTTTCTCATAAAAGCTGTAAAATGGGAGAGAGCAAATATATGTAATTTGTTACTTTCAAAAATGTGAGTTTTCCATAGAGGTTCTTTTTAAAAGAAAAGCTGGCTTTTGCTTATTTTGCTTAAAATATATAATATTGGCTCACTTTGCATATTTATTTATTCATTTTTATTTCTTCTTTGAGGTGGAGTCTCGCTCTGTTGCCCAGGCTGGAGTGCAGTGGCACGATCTTAGCTCACTGCAACCTCCGAGTCGCAGGTTCAAGCAAGGCTCCTGCGTCAGCCCTCCCTAGTAGCTGGGATTACAGGCACGTACCACCATGCCTGGCTAATTTTTTTGTATTTTTAGTAGACACAGGGTTTCACCATGTTGGCATGGCTGGTCTTGAACTCCTGACCTCAGGTGATCCACCGTGCCCACCCAGCCACTTTGCATATTTAATTAGACTAACATACAAATTCTTTTCATTTCTTTTCTTTTCTCTTTTTTTTTTTTTTTTTTTTTTTTTTTTTTTTGAGAGGGAGTTTAGCTCTGTCCCCCAGGCTGGAGTGCAGTGGCACGATCTCAGATAACTGCAGCCCCCCCACCTCCCAGGTCCAAGCAATTATGATTCGGCCTCTTAAGTAGCTGGGATTACAGGCGCCTGCCACCACACCTGGCTAATTTTTAGTAGGGATAGGGTTTCACCATGTTGCCCAGGCTGGTCTGGAATTCCTGACCTTAGGTGATCCCACCTGCCTCAGCCTCCCAAAGTGCTGGGATTATAGACTTGAGCCACCATGCCCAGCCAAATTATTTTTTCACTTCCAAAAGACATATTGATGGTGGATACTAAACTGGTAGGATGAAGTGATAACTTAGATTGCACACATCTGGTTCTCTGCAAACAAGTGACCTGTGTTTCTAGTTGCATCTGAAAAAGCCCACCTTTGATTGAAGACCTGAAAGAGAATCAGTTGGTCTTGAATAGACTTCATTGATGTCACTAAATACTTAGCATATTGAAATGTGGGTTTTCTGTCTTTTTAAATCTCAAACTTTGTTGATTTACCAAAGAAATAATAGAAATGCTTGCAATGCAAACAGCATTTTGTTTGTATTATAAAATACTTGTAATAAAGAGGTCTGATCGCCCTTCCTGCCACACTCCTTTTCTGTGCCCTTTCCTCCTCCTTGGTGACTCCTGTCAATAGCAGTTCTATACATAGGAGAAACTTTATCAAACATTTGGGAAGGATAGGGAAGTTTTTACATTGTTTTCCTGGAGACTCATTCTTATGGCACAAATAAAGATACTATGATCGATCTGTGTTCATTATTTTTCTAGTGTTCTTCAGCGTATACTGAGTACCTGCCAGCTGTGATCTAGGCCCTGTGGATACATTGGTCCACAAGACCATCTTCATTACTGATGGGCTTTGTCTGGTAGCGTGAGAGCAGAAAATTATACTGGGATTCATTCCTTTTTTTTTTTTTTGAGACGGAATTTTGCTGGAGTGCAATAGCGCTATCTCAGCTCGCTATCTCAGCTCAACTCGTCCGTCTCCCGGGTTCAAGTGATTCTCCTGCCTCAGCTTCCTGAGTAGCTGGGACTACAGGTGTGCCCCACCATGCCTGGCTAATTTTTGTATTTTTAGTAGAGATGGTGTTTCACCTTGTTGGCCGGGCTGGTCTTGAACTCCTGACCTCAGGTGATTCATCCACCTGAGTCTCCAAAAGTACTGGGATTATAGGCATGAACCACTGTGCCCAGCCTGGGATTCATTCTTTTAGATTATAAATTCCAGGAGAGGAGGAAAAACAGGTCCTTTGTATATTAGTATATAGTTTGTCCAGTCAATATTAGGTGATAATAGAAAAAGTTATTTTCAAGTAAATATGTGAACTTTAACTTTTTAAAGTCATAAAATATCTCAATTATACAGAAAACTCATAAAATAACAGCTACTTTATCACTGAGATTATCAATAGATACATGTTTCTGAGATACTCTTGGAGTCTTGAGAGTGGGCAAAGATTGTTCTATGATTTTCTTAAATTATTTATTGAGCAATAACTTTTTGAAAATTATGATGAAATATGCATAACATATAGTTTACCATTTTTTAGTGTACAGTTCAGTAGCATTAAGTACATTCACATTGCTGTGTAATCACTACTACCATCCATCTCCAGAATTTTATCTTTGCAAAATGGAACTCCATGCCCATTAAACACTAACTTCCCAGGAATATTGATTGTTTAAAGGAAGATGTTTGTTGGCTGGTGTAGACTGGATGCAGATGTAACTGGAAGTCATTGTTAAAAATCTGTTCATGGGGTTGTTTATAGATTGTCTGCAAGTATTACAAGTTTAAGAATGTAGGAAATTGAGGCCAGGCACAGTGGCTCATGCCTGTAATCCCAACACTTTGGGAGGCTGAGGTGGGTGGATCATGAGGTCAGAAGTTCAAGACCAGCCTGGCCAAGATGGTGAAACCCCATCTCTACTAAAAATACAAAAAAATTAGCTGGGCATGGTGGCAGGCACCTGTAATCCCAGCTACTTGGGAGGCTGAGGCAGGAGAATCGCTTGGACCTGGGAGGCGGAGGTTGCTGCGAGCTGAGATCAAGCCACTGCACTCTATACTCTAGACTGGGTGACAGAGCAAGATTCCATCTCAAAAAAAAAAAAAAAAAAAAAAAGAATGGGGGAAATTGAGTTAGTGAAGTCGTCAGAATTACTGGGCCTCTTTGAATGGTATAGATATAGGTCTTTCTATAGGACTATTGGGGATTTAATGCTGTGAATACAGATGTTGGGGGCATTAACTGCAATTTACAGTCCTTACAGCAACGGGATGCTCCTAATCCTTACACAAGGATTAGGCTGGGTGCAGTGGCTCACACCTATAATCCCAGAAATTTGGGAGGCCAGGACAGGTAGATCACTTGAGGTCAGGAGTTTGAGACCAGCCTTGCCAGTCTCTACTGAACATACAAAAAATTAGCCAGTCGTGGTGGCATGCACCTGAGGTTCCAGCTACTTGGGAGCTGAGGCAGGAAAATTGCTTGAACCCAGGAATCGGAGGTTGCAGTGAGTTGAGTTCGCACCATTGCATTCCAGCCTGAGCATTGCAATGAGACTCCATCTCAAAAAAAAAAAAATAAACACACAAAAAAACTACATGAGTATATGAGTATAGATGCAAAGAAAAATGTCTGAAAGGACAGTGATTATTCCTTGATGGTGGGTTTCAAATGATTTTTACTTCCTCCTTTGCTCTTTTCTGTATTACTGAAGTGTTTTACAGTTAGCCTGTGTTATTTATGTTTCTGGAAAATACATCCCCATTTGGGGTCATGAATTCCTCATCTGTAAAATAAGAGTGGATTAAATTAGATTAGGAGTTTGCACCCTGAGCTCTGAGGGTATCTTGGAGCCCGCTGAGAATGGGCTGAGCGGCCCGGCCTTTCCTTCTTCTCCGATGCTGATTTCATTTGAAGGAGGGATTTGACAGCTAAAAATGGCTAAGTCACTGAGTAGATATAGCATGTGGCATTATTTTTAGTTCAGAAATTCTGAGAGTCTTTTTTCCTTCTAATAGCTTAGAAAAGTATATACAAGGGTGATTTTTAGGATATTTGATAAAGGGTAGTGCTGTTGGTTAGAAAATGCTGGCTGGAGTAGGCACCAGGAGGCCTCCTGCTGGCCAGTAGGTAGCCCTTGATTTAGGACTGCACTGTGTAGGGCGCGGGATCCTTGGGACAAAGCCTGTTTATCTACTGATTCAGAGGCAGCTCTGTTGTAGCCATTAGTTCAACCACACATTAGCCCAGCGTGTGTGGCACACAGAATTAAGTGGATTAGTGATACCTAACGAAAGTAAAAAAGGAAGTAAATTCTACCTTGGGTATATTCCAAGATACTGTCCTTCCTTCCTTTGTTCCCTCTGTTTCCTACCATTGCTACTCAGAATATAAAACAGAAGAAACTTTTTCCCCCTCAAGATTAATATCCCTAACTGTGCTGTTTCTCCACCCCTTGTTTCACTTGTGTTTCAGGTCGTCATGTTGGCGATGTACAATCTGTCTCTAGAAGGAAGTGGACGTCAAGGTTATTTCAGGTGGAAAGAAGACATCTGCGCTTTTATTGAGAAACATTGGACTTTTTTACTAGGAAATAGGTAATTTTTTTTTTTTTTTTAAATCTTATAGTTGAGGGAATATGTAAAGAATGAAGTATACAAGATTTGAGACAGCTTAATGTAGCCTTGTTAGAGATTTGTTTTAATTTTTTTTGAGACAGAGTCTTCCGCTGTCACCCAGGCTGGAATTCAGTGGCACAATCATATCTCACTGCATCCTCAACCTCCTGGGCTAAAGTAATCCTCCTGCGTCAGCCTCCAACACACCTGGCTTTTTTTTTTTTGAAACAGAGTCTTGCTCTAACCCCTCAGTTGGAGTGCAGTGGTGTAATCTCGGCTCACTGCAACCTCTGCCTCCCGAGTTCAAGAGATTCTCCTGCCTCACCTCCTGAGTAGCTGGGATTACAGGCATCTGCTCCTATAACTAGCATCCCAGCTAGTTTTTGTATTTTTAGTAGAGACAGGGTTTCACCATGTTGGCCAGGCTGATCTTGAACTCCTGACCACAAGTAATCCACCCGCCTCGGCCTCCCAAAGTGCTGGGATTACAGGCGTGAGCCACCGCGCCCGGCTTTACTTTTTTATTTTTTATAGAGACAGGGGTCTCATGTTGTCCAGGCTGGTCTTGAACTCCAGGGCTCAAACAATTCTCCTGCCTCAGCCTTCCAGAATGCTGGGATTATAGGTGTGAGCCACTGTTCCTGACTTTGTTAGAGATTTAGAATGTTTACTTGTGGTAATTACAAAGAATTTTTGAATTCCAGAGAATGTTTTTACTTTTTTAAGATTAAAAACTTGGCTGGGTACGGTGGCTCACACCTGTAATTCCAGCACTTTGCAAGACTGAGGCGGGCAGATCACCTGAGGTCAGGGGTTTGAGACTAGCCTGACCAACATGGTGAAACCCCATCTCTACTAAAAATACAAAAATTAGGTGGGTGTGGTGGCAGGCTCCTGTAATCCTAGCTACCTGGGGGGCTGAGTCAGGAGAATCGCTTGAACCGAGAAGGTGGAAGTTGCAGTGAGCTTAGATCACACTTCACTCCAGCCTGGGTGACACAGCAAGACTCCACCTCAAAAAAAAAAAAAAAAAAAAGAAAGAAAGAAAAAACCAACAAAACAAGGACAAGAGAGGAAAAATAATGGCAGTTACTGACTGCATCTGCTTAGGTTGCCCTTAGTTAATAGAGTTTTGTGTTATTATTTGTTTTTAACTCTGGAAAGTAGACACTCTTTCATACTTTTAACTATTTTTCATAGTGCTTAGCAAAGTCTGGGCACATGTGCATATGGCTTGTTCATTAATCACTGTTTATCATTGCGCTCTGATTTTGCTTCTATATGCTCTCCTCAGTGGCTGCTTTGGTTCATTAGACTCGGGGATGCTGATGCACAGACCTTGTGACCATATGTTTTCGCCAAAGGTCTGTGGATCTGACAAGACTTTTATTGCTCTTGGGGACTTGTGAGTTTGCTACCACATTGGTGAATTTTTATTTGAGATTCTGATTGTGAGTTGCTATCTGAAGTCCTGCATGAGATTTGTGAATCTTGCATAATGAGGTTAGTTTAGACATGACAAAGGCTCTGATCACTTCAGGTCAGGACAGGGAGTTCATGCCTTTCCTTACTTGGGGCTCACTGCACCGTCTGTTTCTTCAGACGCTGAGAAATGACAGCTTTGCTCATGTTACTGAGACTGTGGGAGGGCAGTCAGAAGGAGGGTGACCTTCTGCAGGCTGCTGTGAGAAAATGGAATAGACTCCCTGCATTTTTACAAAAGGGGTTATTTTAGTTCTTGAGCTATTTAGTGGTGCTAAGAAAAGAATTGACACTATAACTGGTTTTTTCTCATAAGGAAAGGAAATCTGTTGTTTTAGTTCAATGATTTAGCACTATTTATGGAACTTAATGTACCCCATTTATAAGGGATAAGAAAGGGAAAAAACTGATAAAATTGGATCTTGGAATGTTTTCATTATCTTCGACTGCTGTTCTATGTAGTGGGTTATCTCCTGGAACAAATTGGATTTAGATGGCCTGTTTTTAAGGATATTGCTGGATTTTTAACAGAAGTTGTTTTGTTGCTTCATTTGTTCATTTCTAGAGCATGTTCTGAGAGGAATCAGCTGAGCCTTATTTCTCTTTAACATGCCACTGAAAGGCATTAATTACTCTCCAGTCTCTGTGCAATTTATTAAACTAGTGTTTTGGCCATATTGGTATATCACCTGAATTGTTATTTATTTGATCTTCCTATTTAAATCAGGTCACTTAAAAATACATTAATTTTAAAAAGAAACTTCACATCACCATGGTAAGTGGGAAACCTATATAAATTGTCATAAATAGAATGTAACAATAAAAATAAAACAATGCTGTTAAATTGTAGCTGGATCCCATGGCATATAATGGCAAGGCAAGGCTTTCTTTTCCAGTCAAAAAGAGGTTACAAGTGCTAATAAGAATTTAAAGCAGTAAACTTTCTCCTTGGTCTAACCAGAAGAAGCAAAAGAGAATTAGAAATCACTGTATGATTCTTGCTACCGGGTTTCATGCTACAGTGCTGTTCTTCGCTTTTGGAACTCCACTTTAAACATGAGTGATTGGAAAAGTCCCCAGAAACTACTACCCCTGAGTAGTTACCACTTGCTCAGGTATCTCTGTGTGTGAATGGTAACACGATCACCATGCTCCAGAAAAGCTGTCTGTAAAAAGCATTTATATTTAAGGTACACTTTTTTCATAGCTACTAAAGATTTTCATTCTGCTATCCATAGGATGTATTTTATTTATTTTATTTTATTTATTTATTTTTTTGAGACAGAGTTTCACTCTTGTTGCCCAGGCTGGAGTGCAATGGCACGATCTCAGCTCACCACAACGTCTTCCTCCCAGGTTCAAGCGATTCTCCTGCCTCAGCCTCCCAAGTAGCTGGGATTACAGGCATGTGCCAACACAGCTGGCTAATTTTGTATTTTTAGTAGAGATGGGGTTTCTCCATGTTGGTCTTGGACTCCCCACCTCAGGTGATTCGCCTGCCCTTGGCCTCCCAAAGTGTTGGGATTACAGGCATGAGCCATTGCCCCTGGCCTTATTATTTTATGTGTGTGGCGGAGGCTTGCTTTTTTGCCCAGGCTAGAGTGCAGCGGTGCAATCTTGGCTCATGCAACCTCTGCCTCCCAGGTTCAAGCGGTTCTCCTGTCTTAGTCTCCAGAATAGCTGGGACTACAGGTACATGCCAACATGCCCAACTAATTTTTGTATTTTTAGTAGAGACAGGGCTTTACCCTACTGGTCGGAGGGTCTTGAACTCCTGACCTCAGGTGACCCAGCCAGGACATACTTTAAATTCTTAAAAATTGTAACCATTTTTCATTTGTCACGAGACCTCAGAGAATAGTATACAATGTAATGAAGTTCCAAATTTTCTTTCAGATGTTTACAGATTTTTCTTTTATGCCTTTAATGTGTTATTAAAGTTAAAATGTAAAAAAGTGTATTTTTTTAGTGCTAACTTAAATAATTTTATGTACCATTGTAGAAACAAGTTAAAAAGTATATGAAAACTTAATTATTACTGAATAATTGGCTAGTATTTGTTCATTTAATCTGCTTTTATAGTCCTGGCCTTAAATTCTTCCAGAAGGTATAGTTTTGATTAGTGAAGAATAGTTTGAATATTTTCCTCTGTTACCATATTTTACTGATTTTTTTTTTTTTTTTTTAAAGACGGGGTTTCACCATGTTGGTCAGGCTGGTCTTGAACTCCCGACCTCAGGTGATCCGCCCGCCTTGGCCTCCAAAGTGCTTGGATTACAGGCATGAGCCACCATGCCCAGCCCTGATTTTTTTAAGATACATAATTTTGCAAAATTTGACATCTCTGACAGCTAGATACATCTTATGGTTACTGATAGGTCATAATTTAATTGGTAGTTAGTTTTTTCTTATTTGTACATAAAATGGTGTATCTGAAAGTTAATGGATCTTAGCATTGATGAAATGTGATAGAACATATTGGTAGTATCCACACTTCAATCAACTATATGAGGAGGACTCTGGGAAGGTGGCAGATAGGAAGCATCTGCCTTCCTGCTTGGACAACAGTTACACTGGCAGAATCTGACTGATGGAAGTGTTTTGGAACTCTGTAGTCTAATAAAGGCTTGCAGTTTCCAAGGGAAGGCATGGACAGTATATTGTGTTTAATAGTGGTCAGTTTAGTTCTTAATGCAGTAGCAGCTACTCATCCCCCTTCCCCAGCTGCTAGGGAGAGAGCTGTTTGTATGTTCCTGGAGCAGCTTACACACAGCTTGGAGCATCCATGGTGGGCAACAATAAGCCGTTTTCCAAATATTGGGTATTTGTGCTCTGATTACTGATTACTGCATCTAATCATAGAGGTGAAAAGAGGTGGCAGCCATTGTTGTTGGAGTTCCCCACATTGCAAAAATGAGTAAAGGAATTTAATAGACATTTCTTCAAAGATATAAAAATGTCCAATAAACACATCAAAAGATACTCAACATCACTAATCATTAGGGAAATGCAAATCAAATCTATAAGAAGATACCATTTCATACCCCTTAGGGCAACAATGATCAAAAAACAGAAAATAACAACTGTGGGCAAGAATGTGGAGAAATGGGAACCCTTGTGCAGTGTTGGTGGGAGTGTAAAATTGTACAATCATTATTGGAAGCAGTATGGTGTTTCCTCAAATAGTTAAAAATATAACGATCATATCTGACATTTTCACTGCTGGGTATATACTCACAAGGATTGAAAGCCGGGTCTCAGAGGTACTTGTATATCCATGTTTTTAGCGGCATTATTCACAATAACTGAGACGTGGAAGCAACCCAAGTGTCCATCAGTAGATGAATGGATAAGCAAAGTGTGGCATATACATACAGTGGATATCACTCAGTCTTAAAAAGGAAGGAAATTCTGGCACGGGCTGCAGTATAGATGAACCTTGACATTGTGCTATGTGAAACAAGTCAATCACAAGAAAACAAATATTGTGTGATTCCACTTACTTGAGGTACTTAGGGTAGTGAAAATCACAGATACAGAACGTAGAATGGTGGTTGTCAGCACTTGGTGGGGAGGGTGGAATTGAGAGTTATTGTTTAATGGATATAGAGTTTCAGTTTTGCCCTATGAAAAGCATTCTGAAGGTGGATGGTGGTGGTGATTGTACCATGTGAATGTACTTAATACCACTGAACTCTACACTTAAAAATTGTTAAGATAGTAAATGTTTAGGTGTATTTTACCACAATAGTAATTTTGGGGGGAAAGTATTCAGGCCATTTATAAATACCGTGTTTGTATATGTCCTGGCAACAAATTTATTCCATTCCACACAAATACTTCATTATGTGTCTATACTGTGATTTGGCTGGCTATGTTAGTTTGCTAGTGACACAAACTGGATGGCTTAAACAACAGAAATGTTTTCCAGTTCTAGAGGCTGGAAATCTGAAATCCAGGTGTTGATAGGGTTGATTCCCTTTGAAGGCTGTGAGGGAGAGTCTATTCTATACCTCTCCCTGTCTTCTGTTAGCCTCAGGCCTTCCTTGGCTTGTAGAGGATGTTTTCCCTGTGTCTTCATGCATCTTCCCTCTCCACAGGTCTGTCTCTATCCAAGCTTCCCCTTGTCTAAGGACACCAGTCGTATTTGTTCAGCCCAGTGACCTCATGATCACTGTTTGCACATAAGGTCACATTCACAAGTACTGGGACTTCATTTTGGGAGGACAAAATTAAATCTGTAACACTGGCTGATACTTTTATAAACATTTATGTTACTTCTAGTTTTCCTGTGTTTAAGTTAGCCTTGTAGGGAATATTCTTGTATATATGTCCTTTGTGTTTTTGTGATTAGATTTGTGGGGTCAGAGGGTACACACAATTTTGCTGTACATTATGAAAGTAACCTCAAGAAAATATATGCCAGTTTATAGTCCCGCTGTCAATGTACAAGTACACACCCATTTTCCACACACTAAATAACACATTGGTTTTTAAAATCTTTTGAGCCTTTTTCAATCTTTTTGTTGTTTTTGTTTGTTTGAGGTAGGGTTTCACCCTGTTATGCAGGATGGAATGCAGTGGCACAATCATGGCTCACTGCAGCCTTGACCTCTCAGGCACAAGTGATCCTCCCACCTCAGCCTCCCAAGTAGCTGGCACCACAGGCACATGCCATCACACCCGACTAATTTTTTATTTTTATTTTTGTGGAAATGAGGTATTTCTATGTTGCCCAGACTTCTTTTTGTTATTGCAGTAAAAATGGTGAAAATTTACCATCTTAACGAGTTCTAAGTGTACAGTTCAGTAGTGTTAAGTATGTTCACATATTTGGATATAGATTCACAGATTGCCAGAACTCTTTTCATCTTGCAGATCTGAAACTCTATCCCTATTAAATAACTCTCCATTCTCCCCTCCCCATAGCTTTAGGCAGTCACCATTCTACTTTCTGTTTCTATGAATTTGACTATTCTAAATAGTTCATATATGTAGAATCAAAATAGTTCATATATGTAGAATCATACAGTATTTGTCTTTTTATGACTGGCTTATTTTGCTTAGCATAATACCCTCAAGGGTTATCCACATTGCAGCATCTGACAGGATTTCCTTTATTTTTAAGACTGAATTATATTCTATTGTATATGTTTATACTACATTGTATATTAGAGGGGTTTGGAAAGATTAGAAAAAGATAAGAATGTAAGAGAGGTACTTTGGGACCAAAAGGTTGGGGGTGTCATTCTCTCACAGATAGTCGATGCTTTTTTTGACACTGACTTTTGTTCTTGTCGCCCAGGCTGGAGTACAATGGTGCAGTCTTGGCTCACTGCAACCTCTGCCGCTTGGGTTCAAGCGATTCTCCCACCTCACCCTCCTGAGTAGCTGGGATTACTGGCATGTGCCACCACACCTGGCTAATTTTGTATTTTCAGTAGAGACAGGGTTTCACCATGTCCGCCAGGCTGGCTTCAAGCCCCTGACCTCAGGTGATCCACCTGCCTCGGCCTCCCAAAGTGCTGGGATTACAGGCATGAGCCACCATGCCTGGCCTCAGGTAGTGCTTATGCCTACTATAGCTTAGCTTATTTGTTTATTTTCTGTGTTTTCTATTAATAGTACATCTCTGTTCTTCAGAATGCTTTTCCTTTGCCTTCCTAGAAATATCTTCCAACTGTTAGACTGACCTTCTTGTGAAAGACTGTCTTTTAGGATTTCCAGCAATTGATTTGTGTTTTCAAGGTGGAAAGAGAACAGTTGTCTTAAAGGAATTTTCAACAGTGTACCCAAATAGTTGACATTATGCACGTTTTGTTATTTGTCATGCAGTAGGTGCTATCTCTGTTTGTGGAGCATACCACATAGTTTTGTTACCACTGTAGTGCATCAAAGTAGATAGGATCAGATTGAGAGATGTGTGTGACTCCTCTGGTAAAGTGAGCTGTTTACTGGAGCCAGTGATTAACTTCTATCACAAAATGCCCGGACTTGGAGTTATGCTTTTTGTGTGCTTTATTCTTGGGAGCTGTGCTTAATTCACATAAAAAAGCAACTTAATTAAAACTAGCCTATAGAATTCCACAATTGTGATGATTGTGATTGAGAAGTATTTTATGTGCTTTGTTTGAATTGTTTCATTTAATCCTCACAGCAACCCTGTGAGGTAAGTTCTATTATCCTGATTTTTCAGATGAACAAACCAAGACTGCTAGAAGCTGATAGTGCCAGGGTGTGAAGCAGGTGGACTCCAGAACCTCTCTCCTGCCTCTTGTGCTCTGCTCCTTCAGCAGCTGGAGGTGCCATTACATGTTGCAGGCTGGGAGTCACAGTCTACATAGACTGTCTTTTCTATATAATGAGCTTATTCTAGTGCCAATAATTTTTAAATTCTTGGACTCTTTAGGAAAAAGACGTCCACCTGGTGGAGCACTGTGGCAGGTTGCCTCAGCGTGGGAAGTCCCATGTACTTCCGTTCAGGTGCTCAGGAATTTGGAGAGTCGGGATGGTGGAAACTTGTTCATAATAAGCCCCCAACAATGAAACCTGAAGGAGAGAAGTTGTCTGCCTCTACTTTGAAAATAAAAGGTACTGTTGTGTGAACAATACAAAAGATGCTAGTCAGACCAGAGCCAAGCAGGCGTGAGCCCAGGAGACGCTCCTGCTTCCACTGGGCATGGCTCGAAGGCTTCTCTGGAGCTATGCTGCTTAACACTTCTGTGATGACACTTATGTGTGTGGGCTAGAAATAAATGCCACATAAAAACATTTTCTCACTTTCTAATCAAGCTATCAGTTTTATAAATTTCCCTGGGTATCCAAAAGGTTCAATGTTTTCCATCTGATTTTTGTTTTTAAACTTATCATCTCACAAAGGTGAAGAGATGTTTTAAAATTCCCATAATAAATAACAATGAATTCTCATGTACCTTCCTCCTCACTTGGACATTAACTCCTGACAGTCTATTTTATCTAAATCCGCAGTACTTTCCCCATTCTTAAGAAATCCCAGGAATCAACATTTTCATTCTTTTTTTTTTTTTTTTTTGAAACGGAGTCTTGCTCTGTCACCCAGGCTGGAGTGCAGTGGCACAATCTCGGCTCAGTGCAACCTCTGCCTCCCTGGTTCAAGCGATTCTTCTGCCTTAGCCTCTCTAGTAGCTGTGACTACAGGGGCGTGCCACCACACCTGGCTAATTTTTTGTATTTTTAGTAGAGATGGGGTTTCACCCTGTTAGCCAGGATGGTCTCGATCTCCTGATCTCATGATCTGCCTGCCTCAGCCTCCCAAAGTGCTGAGATTATAGGCATGAGCCATGGTGCCCAGACGACACATTTCATTCTTAAATGTCTCAGTATGTATCTCTAAGAGATCAGGCAGGATTCTTTCCTTTTTGCAGCCTGACCATAATGCCATTTTCACATTTAAAAAGATGTTAACAGTAACTTCTTACTATCACATATTGATCAGTTTTATAATCTAAAAAGGTTTTAATGAGCTTTTAAATTTTTATATTTACTTGTTTATTTATTTATTTGAGATAGAGTCTCGCTTTGTCACCCAGGCTGGAGTGCAGTGGTGCAATCTTGGCTCATTGCAACCTCTGCCTCCTGGGTTTAAATGATTCCTGTGCCTCAGACTCTTGAATAGCTGGGCTTCAAGGCACACACCACCATGCCCAGCTAATTTTTTTGTATTTTTAGTAGAAATGGTGTTTCACCATATTGGCTAAGCTGGTCTTGAACTCCTGACCTCAGGTGATCCAGCTGCCTTGGCCTCCCAAAGTGCTGGGACTACAGGCGTGAGACACTATTAAAACATTTTTTTTTTTTTTTGAGACTGAGTTTCACTCATGTTACCCAGGCTGGAGTGCAATGGCGCGATCTCCGCTCACCGCAACCTCCGCCTCCTGGGTTCAGGCAATTCTCCTGCCTCAGCCTCCTGAGTAGCTGGGATTACAGGCACGTGCCACCATGCCCAGCTAATTTTTTGTATTTTTAGTAGAGACCGGGTTTCACCGTGTTGACCAGGATGGTCTCGATCTCTTGACCTCGTGATCCACCCGCCTCGGCCTCCCAAAGTGCTGGGATTACAGGCTTGAGCCACCGCGCCCGGCCAATTAAAACATTTTTTAAAAAAGAATGGAGATAGGGCCTCACTGTTTTTCTCAGGCTGGTCTTGAACTGCTGGGCTCAAGTGATCCTCTGGCCTCTGCCTCCAAAAGTGCTGGGATTACAGGCGTGAGACATCATGCCTGACCTTTTGTTACTTCAAACAGCGTTATAATTGTACAAATTTGTGTACATGTGAAAATGTGATAAATTCCTAGAAACGGAGTTTCTGTATCAAAGATCATGTTCATTCAAAATTTTAATCAGGATTGCCAAATTATAATAAGGCCAGGTGCGGTGGCTCACACCTGTAATCCCAACACTTTGGGAGACCGAGGTCAGGAGTTCGAGACTAGCCTGGCCAACATGCTGAAACCCCATCTCTACAAAAATAGAAAAATCAGCTGGGCATGGTGGCACAGACCTGTAATCCCAGCTACTTGAGAGGCTGAGGTAGGAGAATCACTTGAACCTGGGAGGCAGAGTTGTAGTGAGCCATGATCACATCACTGCATTCCAGCCTGGGTGACACAGCAAGACCCTGTCTCCAAAAAAAAAAAAAAAAAAGAAAGAAAGAAAGAAACTTCTCATTGAAATGCCCATGAAAATGCCCATTTTCCCATACGTTTACTGAGCTTTACCAAACTTTTTTTTTTTTTTTTTTTTTTTTGGCTCACTGCAGCCTCCACCTCCCAGGCTCAAGATCTGTCCACCTCAGCCGCCCAGGGTGCTGGGATCAGAGGTGTGCACCACCATGCCTGGCTAGACTTTTAATGTTTACTAGTTCCAGTAGATGAAAGATAGTATTTATTTGTTTAAATTTGCATTATAACTTCTTTTTTCTCAGGAGATATTTAAGTCTTTTTTAGTTTAGGGCATTCATTGAACATTTCTCTTTATTAAACATGATACTATTCATAATAATAAATTAGCAAAAGAAGCTAAAGTTTGAGTAGTTATTTTTAAATTTAGATATGGGTTAAGCAATCCAAATCTGAAAATCCAAAATCAAAAACACTCCAAAATCTGAACCTTTTTGAGCACCAACATAACCCTCAAAGGAAATGCTCATTGGAGCATTTCGGATTTTGGATTTCTGGGTTTGGGATGCTCAACCAGTAAGTATAATGCAAAATCCGAAAACATCTGAAATCCAAAACATGCTTGTTCCCAGGCATTTCAGATGAGGGATGCTCAGCCTGTATTTATTCTTTTCTAGCAGCCTCAAAACCAACTTTAGATCCCATCATTACTGTTGAGGGACTTAGAAAACGGGCAAGTCGGAATCCTGTGGAATCTGCCATGGAATTAAAAGAGAAAAGGTCTCGAACTCAGGAAGCAAAAGACATTAGAAGAGCCCAAAAGGAGGCCGCTGGCTTTCTTGACAGGAGCACGTCTTCTACCCCTGTAAAGTTCATAAGCCGAGGCCGCAGGCCGGATGTGATTCTTGAAAAAGGAGAAGTGATTGACTTTTCCTCCTTGAGCTCCTCTGACCGCACTCCGCTGACAAGCCCATCTCCTTCTCCTTCTCTGGATTTCTCTGCCCCTGGGACACCTGCCTCTCATTCTGCCACACCTAGCTTGCTTTCAGAAGCAGATCTGATTCCAGATGTGATGCCCCCACAAGCCTTGTTTCACGGTAGGACTTTGCTTGCTTTGGTCTTTAATTTTGGGTATGGGCCATGGTATAAATATGCAAGTTTTCACCCTGTGGGCTGTGTGATCTACATTTCTTCCTTCCCATGTCTTGATGACACTGTTTTGTATTCTGCACAGATGATGATGAGATGGAAGGCGATGGAGTCATAGACCCAGGGATGGAGTACATTCCACCCCCTGCTGGGTCAGTAGCTTCTGGGCCAGTGGTTGGGGGCAGAAAGAAGGTCAGAGGCCCTGAACAGATAAAGCAGGAGGTAGAGAGCGAGGAAGAAAAACCCGACAGGATGGACATTGATAGTGAAGACACAGATTCCAACACGTCTTTGCAAACAAGGGCTCGAGAAAAGAGGAAGCCTCAGCTGGAGAAGGACACAAAGCCGAAAGAGCCCAAGTATACTCCCGTGAGCATCTATGAGGAAAAGCTGCTGCTCAAGAGGCTGGAAGCTTGTCCCGGTGCGGTTGCCATGACTCCAGAAGCTCGAAGACTGAAACGCAAACTGATTGTCAGACAAGCGAAAAGGGATAGGGGATTACCACTTTTTGACTTGGATCAAGTTGTTAATGCTGCTCTTCTGTTAGTTGATGGGATTTATGGAGCCAAAGAAGGAGTTTCCAGACTTTCAGCTGGACAAGCCACATACCGAACTACCTGTCAGGACTTCAGAATCCTTGACCGATACCAGGTGAATGCAGGCGCTCGCTATAAAGCTGGTGGGGGCAGGAATGGAGGTGGGGCAGGCTGCACCAGGCAGTTGACACGGGTATGCTGTGACCTTTTAAATCCGGAGTAATTTGGGAAGCGAGAAGTGATGAGCAAGGGGAACAATAATCACTGGGCTTTGTTTTTGACAGTTGTTTATTATAAGAACATCTTAGTACATCTGGGTTTTTCTTTTCCTTTAACCTATAAGTTTTCTTTATCTCTCTCTCTCTCAGTGGGTAGCTGTACATGGTTTGTATTGTAGCTTTGATAGATTTGTCGAGGCCATGGCAGTGTCTTGCACACTGTGCTGCACAGGATCTGAAGGTCGAGATCTGCACAGAGGACAACATGAAGAAATAGTAGCCAAGGGATCAGTGTGGTATCAGTGTTGCTCAAAGGATGATCAGTGGAACCCAAATTTTGTGGATGCTTCTGGGAACATTTAATTCCACTTAGAACTGTCTGCATATACCCTAGCACTGGGAGGAACAAGAAGCCTTATTTTACTGTATCTTTGTCTGCACTTGATACTAACTAGCCTTTAAGTTTTGCTAATTGTCTGGCTGTAAAGTAAAATCTTGTTTTTGTTTACATTTCTTTGGTTAGAGGTGGGGTTAAATTTCATGGTTGTTTCTCTGTGAATTGCCTGTTTGGGGCCCGCACGCTTTTCTGTCTTCTTCTCTGGAAGCTAGTGGGATCTGCTCTCCATTGCTGGTGTTCTGGTATTATTCAGTGATGTGCCATATGTAGGGCTTATGTCTTTCCTTGTGCTGGACATGTGGTGTGTGGGCCCTTTCAGTTTGAAACTTTCTTTCCTGGGTATGGAAAAGTTTTGATTTCCTGTCTTCTATTTTTTCTGTTCCGTCATTTTAGAACTCCCCTATTATTTGGATATTGGACACTCTAGATCAAAAGTTGGCAAACTTTTTCTGTAAATAAAAAAAATTTCTGCCAGATAGTAACTGTTTTTAGGCTTTGCCGGCCACAAAATCTCATTGGGAACTGCTGTTGTGATTGGAGAGCCATAGTGAATGGGCTGTGTTCAGTGCGGGGCAGGGGAGCGTGGCGGTGCCCATAGTTTACCAGGATCTCTACTCCAGATAGATCCTCTTTTCTTTTTTCCCTAATTCCCATCTATCCTGGGAAGCACAGTATTAACCAGCCTGCATACCAGGAGCCAAGTTGGGAGGGCCTAGGAGCCTACCATTGAGGAGGTAAACTGACTCTCCCTGTTTTCAGGACGGTACTCTCACCCTTGGCTTCCTGTGTCCAGAATTTCCCTCTTGAGCCTCTCCCGTCTTCTGCCTGTAGAGGGAAAGATCATTTCCTGGCTGTGGGCAGTGTAATTAGTTAGTATACGGGTATAATTAGAGGCTTTAACCTCTTAAAGAGCCTCTCTGTCGCAATCATACCCCCCCCCCCCCCCCCCCCCCCCCCCCCCGCCCCGAGGCTCTAAGGCTGATGAATTCAGTGGCTGTACTTCCCTGAGGCTGTGTTTTGTAAATCACCCTGCTCCTGGCTTAGCTTTACCACTGGCTTAGGTGGTGTTGGCTTTCTTTGGTCTGTTAAGTCATTTGCTGCTTGTTCATATGTTTTTGTTAGTCATCTATTTACTTGTGGTTTTTTTTTTTTTTTTTTTTGAGACAAGGTCTTTCTCTGTCACCTAAGTGACACAACCATAGCTCATTGCAGCCCCAAACTCCCAGGCTCAAGCAGTTCTCCTACCTGAGCTTCCCAAATAGCTGGTACTACAGGCACACACTACTACACTCAGCTAATTTTTTTTAGTTTTAGTAGAGACAGGGTCTCCCTGTCTTGCCCAAGCTGGTCTCAAACTTCTGGGCTCAAGTGATTAGAGGCATAAGCCATTGCACCTGGCCAATATTCACCTGGTCTTTGTTCTTGTGGGTCTGTTTAGTGCCTGTACTTAATTTTTTTAATTGTAAGATGTGCCATACAGATAGAAGAAGGCATGGAAATATGGTATAATTTAGGTATTAATAAAATAAATGCCCATGTATTCATCTCCTGGGTAAAGTGCGTTGTAAACGCCCTAGAAGTCTCTTGTGTACTTTCTGTTCCCCTCAGAGGAAGCCACTCTGACTTTTAGTGTTAATTATTCATTTGCTTTTTAAATGTATATGTCTCTAAACAGTATACTTTTATTTTTTAAAAAAAGCTGAGTAGCAAGTACAAATCTAGCTGTGTAAGGAAATTACCACAATTAGATGAATTTCCTGGAGAAGATAAGCCAAATGGTCATTCTGGGTCATTGTTGTGGACTGAATTGTGTGCTCCCAAAAGATATGTTGAAGTCCCAACCTTGGTACCTATGAATGCAACCTTATCTGGAAATAGGGCCTTTGCAGATATAATTAGCCAAGGCCACCAAGGATTGCCGGCAGCACCAGGAGCTAAGAGAAGGTCATGGAATGACTCTCTCCTAGTGTGTACTGGGAGAGCATAGCCCTGCCCACACTGTGACTTCTGGCGTTTGGCCTCTAGAACTGTGAGATAATAAACTCCTTTTGTTTTAAACCACCCAGTTTGTGGTGCTTTGTTCCTACAGCCCCAGGAAACTAATACAGTGATGTTCTGGCTTCAGCTTCCATGAACCACTTCTAGGGAAGTCACTGGTCAAGGTCACTAGGGAGTCCCGGGAAACATGAGGCTCACCATAGTGTATGCGTGAGGCAGGGCTGTGATGTATACCAGATATGTGGCAGAAATCTGGGCAGAGGAGGTGGAATCCTCTGTATTTCCTGCCTGAGCAGACAGCTTTCTTCCAGCTTGCAGAAAGTCAAAGCAGTTATTTGTGGAGTGAGCATCATCAGCTGGTCCCTGGGTGGGCATGGGTGGTGTACAGGAGGCTTACCAGTACATGATGAAGACAAGCTGAGCATAGATGAGATTCTGGGCCATGATGCCATAGGTTTAAAAGATGGTCAGTGGCAGCAGGGACTTAAGGATGGTAGCCTCAGTATGTCTGTCCCTTAGGTCACACTTGTTCACCCTTTGTTGTGAAACTCAGCAGGGGTGCTGGGATCTCCCCTCACTAGAGATTCTTTTGCCCTCCTCTGTATTTGATCTCCTGTTTCTCGTGGCCCATCTTTACCTTGTTATAGGTTTATTCCCTTGTTTTTAATGGCCTCCTGAGAAAAGCTGCATGGGAAGTAAAATTTGAGACTTACATACTGAAAAGACCCTGATTAAATGAGGTTGAACCTGGAGTTCCATACACGGCCACATTGTCTAGGTGAGACTTCTGTTGAGGACCTTGGTACTTCCTTTAGGCCTTTCCGTTGAGTCTAAGTCAGAGTTCCTGGGGAAGAGTCTTCTGGGCTCAGGACACTGGTTGCCAAGCGGCGGAAGAAGGAGCTAGCATTCAGCTTGTCAGGTACCCACACCTCAGCTCTCACTGAATGGCCCCATCTGGAGCCCCTGTTAGACCTTCCCAGAAATCAGACCTCCTGGCTTCTGGGGGAGGGCAGCCACCCAACTAGAGAGAGTGGAGGGATCTGGGGATCATACTGCTTTCCACTTGGTGTTTTCCTGCTCCTTATTTTAACTGTCCCATTTAGTCCCAGTTCCAGAGGAATCTGCTGCTGCTGCTGCTGCCTGGATTTTAGCCAGTCTGCAGTATAGATTGGGTTAGCTCTCATTCAGCTTACCCAAAGCCACTTTGGGATTTTGGCGTTAAATCAGTTACTATTTGTCCATCTGCTTACCACTTACTGTTCTAATTAAGTCAGTTTCTGTAGTTTTAGTGGGATTTTGGGAAGTAGTAAAGCTATATGCTTGTGTTTTAACCGAGTCTTAATTTGGAATTTTTTTTTTTTTTTTTTGAGACGGAGTTTTGTTCTTGTTTCCCAGGCTGGAGTGCAATGGCATGATCTCGACTCACCACAACCTCCACCTCCTGGGTTCAAGCGATTCTCCTGCCTTAGCCTCCCAAATAGCTGGGATTATAGGCATATACCACCACACCTGGCTAATTTTGTATTTTCAGTAGAGACAGGGTTTCACCATGTTAGCCAGGATGGTCTTGATCTCCTGACCTCGTGATCTGCCCGACTTGGCCTCCCAAAGTGCTGGAATTACAGGCAGGAGCTACTGCACCTGGCCAACTTGGAATTTCAGTATAAATTTTAATGTATTTACACAGAGGGTGACTATAAATGCATTTATTCAATCCATACTCTTTCTTGTTTTATATTTATTCTTTGAGTGCAAGTTAAAGCAGCAGTTGCTGATGTAGAAGCAGCAACACGTTATCTAGAAGATCTAGCTGAGATCATTGATGGAAGTGGCTACACTAAGCAAGATGTTCAGTGTAGATGAAACAGCCTTCTATTTAAAGAAGATGCCACCTACAACTTTAATAGAGAGAAGTCAGTGCCTTGGTTCAAAGCTTCCAAGGACAAGCCAACTCTCTTCTTAGGGGCTAATGCAGCTGGTGACTTTCAGTTAGAGCCAATGACCGTTTGCTCTTCCAAGAGTCTTAGGGCCCTTATAAATTATCCTAAATCTACCCTGCCTGTGCTCTGTAAATATATCAACAAAGCTTGGATGACAGCATATCTGTTTACAGTATGGTTTACTGAATATTCTAAGCCCACTATTGAAAGCCACTACTCGGAGAAAAAGATTATTTCCAAACAATTGCTGCTCGTTGACAATATACCTGGTCACCCAAGAGTTCTGACGGAGAGGTATGAGATTAATAATATTATTTTCATGCCTGCTAACACAGCATCCATTCTGTAACCCGTGGATCAAGAAGTAATTTTGACTTTCAAGTCTTAAATGAGACTTTTTATAAGGCTATAGCTACTATAGATAGCGATTCCTCTGATGGATCTGGGCAAGGACATTGAAAACCTTCTGAAAAGGATTCACCATTCTAGATGCCATTAAGAACATTTGTGATTCATGGGAGGAGGTCAAAATTTCTCTTTTTTTTTTGAGACAGAGTTTCAC